GGAGAGAGAGAGAGAGAGAGACAGAGAGAGGAACAAGCCGACCCTAAGGACAAGCTCAAGAGCGTGACGACATTGCGTTCACAACAACAAGGACAATATAAACAAGTCCCACTGGGGGATTCACACACATGACAGGATGATGAGAGGAAACTTTCGCGCGTGAGAGGGGGGGGGGATGTGTGTGGGTGCAAGTGAGTGTGTGTGTGTGTGCGTGAGTTTCGAGTAAGTTTTGCGTGGAGAACTTCCGACAAGTAAAAGACCATTGTCCCATGCATTGAACAATGAAGAATCAAGAAAGGAAATGGGCTCTACCGACCACAAACACATTGTCATTAAATATGCACGTATCGTGAATGTTCATGTCCACCTCTGGGCGCCCTACCACCGGATCGTAATGTATCCAACATCTGAAAATATCAACGACATCGTCATGCACCCTCAAGAGATTATATCCAACCAAAAGTTTGACGTCACAAAGCGTGATCAGTGACTTGTTAAGAAACAAGAAGTCACAGAGCAAAACGAAACAATAATAATAATATTCACAAGGCGTTGGACGAGGGTACAGCGCCACTCGCTCCGTGTGGTGACAATGTTGGAGACCACCACACACACCCACCAACCCTGGCGTCTCCAACTCTTGTTCGATTCACTGATCGTAATTGTTATTACACCTCCATCGATGCAGTTCAGGACAACTCAATCTGTGTAGGATTCAATATTCCAGCAGAAAGATGTAGATTCTATACTTCAAGAAATATTTCCGTTGATAAGAATCGAACCTTCGTTTTTTGCGCCCTGGGGAAAGAATTGAAGAGTCAAATCATTTCATCGCAGACGCATGTTTTCTTGACCGTAAGGCCAAGACACAGAACAAACACCATACAGTAGTCCACTAGATTCTAATCAACAGCTGAACTGACGTTAATCATGTTCGGTCAGGAGACATCTTGCTCTAACACAGGACTTAATACCACGCACTTTGTCCCGTAGACGGTCAGAATCCGAAGGCTGTACACAATACTCCACGTGATCAGAATAAGCATAAGGTTTTATAGCGTCAGCGTCGTCCCCCCATTTTAGCAAAGTACAGGTATATCATTCCAGTAGAAAGATGTAGATACTCCAAGAAATATGACCGTTTATGAGAAGCAAACTTTCGGTTTTTTTGCGTCTTGGGCGAAGAGTTGCAGGACTTATACCACGCACTAAGAAACTGGTGACGTCTGAAAAAATGCACGTCTCAGACATAGCAATGTCGTAGAGTCCCGAGATATTACATAGAAGATCTAGAGATACCAAAACATCCAGAAACAGATAACAACCCGTGTCGGTCGCACCACGGGGAAGTGTTTAACCTTTGGCCTGAACTTCAGACACACGACAGTTGATGACATACTCCACAGTGTTTTCTTATATAGCGTAAAGTAGCCCAGAGGTCCGTTAGCCATCTCAGAGTGAACATACTCCATCTACAAAATCATAATAATATTTGTAGTAGATAGGACAGTTTGCTTCTCATTTAGCATTCTGTGTCCACCCAGCGGCCGAGGGGCATGTTATTATAACTATATTATTAATAAGTGAGGTGAGCTTACGCTTTAGTTTGGAGCATAAAACTATACTGTAAGAAGAGTCACTTTATGTTAAGCGAAACTCCACATCGCTCATTATCAGTATGGTCCAAGGGCTAGCGGTTGTGTAAGGGGCGTTTCTCCAACTCGCTCATTACTACGCCAGTCCTAGAGCTAGTGGTTCTGTATAGAGTGTAACTTCACCTCACTCATCCCTACTGTTGTCCTATGGCAAGCGCTTCTCTGTATAGAGTGTAAATCCACCTCACTCATTACTTCTACAGTCCTTGGGTGAGTGACTGTGTATGAAGTATATATCCACCATCACTAGATCTACAATGGTCCTTGGGCTAGCGGTTGCGTGCGCAGAGAATCAGTGGTCAGAGGAGGGCGTGGTGGAACACTCGGAGAGTCCGGAGCTCTGGCTGATGGCTCGCGTCATGTTGTCCTGGCTCTTCCTCAGCTCCGCCCCGCTGGGAGGGGGCGGGAACACCAGGAGCGGGATGCCCAGGTAGTCCGGCCGCTCCAGTTTGGTCACGTGCACGAAACAGCACGGCTGGGAGATTTCGATCTTCTTAGGCGCCTTGTACTTGAGTTTGGATTTTTTCTCCTTCTTCTTTTTCTTCTTCTTGCTCAGGTTCAGGAGATCGTCGTCGGGGTTTGCGGTCAGAGACGTCACAGCCTCGGCGAATTCCGACGCCGCGGGGCCCTCGTCAAAGCTCAAACCGACGAGTCTCGTGGAGTCCGTGGACAGGGTAAGCGTGTGGAAGTTCGTGTGCGGCGTGCTGTACTTTGTCAGGTGGTTGATGACGTCAGACCACAGCGTGAAGCCCGTGCCTCGCTCGGCCAGCACAATGCTCAGACGCCGGTCTCGGAGATGTTCGCCCGAGTCCAACACGAGAAGGGGAATCCCCGTCTTGGCGAACTCCCACTCGTCTTTCCGGATGTCGGCAGGCTCCGGAGACCGAGGCGGGGGCGCGTACTCTTTGTCCTGTTCCTCAGACGCCGACTTGGATTTCTTGCTGGATCTCTTGCTCTCGATCTTCTGCGGCTCGGGGATGGTGAGTGCTAAAGAAGCCCGGTCTTTTATCTTAGGCACAGAGACGTACAGATTAGCTAAAGAACGGCAGACTCGAACCTCAGTCTTGTGGCTCCGGTAGAAGATTTCTACCTGGTTGATGTCCTGTTCAGAGATGCCGTCCGTCGACGGTATGACAAAAGCGGTACCGGAAGTGGCAACGGACGTTGCGCTGGGCGGGGCACTGGGCATGGGCGTGTCCGAGGAGATTTCTGATGACGTATCCGAGAAGGCGGATCCCCCGCCGTTGGTGTGAGGGATGGACTTTCCGCTGAGTGCGTCTGCCTCGATGCTGGCGATACTCAACTGCGCCATATTGGGGGCTACGACCAGATTGTCCGGGGAAGCGTACTTGGTCTGAAACCTGTTGGCAGACGTGTCGAGCTCGCCGTTCTGACGAAGTTGCTGCTCTTTCCGCGCCAGTTGTTGGTTGATGAGGTCCTCCGTGGACGAGTAGACGGCGGTCCGACCGTTCCGGAGGGAGGGGCTGACTCTGCTGCTGGTCGCGCTGTGCAGGACTGGCTGCGAGATCTGCACAGCGCCGGTGAACGTCGTAGACATGTTTGTGACGTCACGTTAACATCACGTGACTGACGGTGAGAAACAGCGGTGAAAAAGTTTTGAGTGTGTTTTGTATCCGGATAGCCGATCAAGCTAGAGAGTAATTTGACTGAAATACGGATTGGATGTAGAAGAGATTTATCCAAGATCAAAAAGCTGACACGTAGGTACACGGAAAGTATTGTGTCCTCAGGTCAAAGCTCGGGTTGTGTTCCTTGGTGTAACCAGGGTGGTCATACGTTAAAGGGGGAGTGTCCACCTCGCTCAGGCCTTACAGAGCAATGGTGATCCACCTCTACAATAACGACCTCTCCTCACTGTGATGTCACACGGTCCGAGTTGGTCCTTGGTCTTGGGATATTCTTCAAGATCTGCAAAAAAGACAAAAAATGTGGTTAAGTAAAGCAGCGTAAAAAAAAAAGAAAAACAGATGGTAGTAAAAGCAATGCGTGCTTCTTGTGTGCTTACTAGACTAGTTCAGAGTACAAAAACTGTTTACTGACATTCATTATAAAGATCTTCTATTAAAACTGTTGTTTGCCCCTCGTCATTGAGTACTGCACCAGTTAGGGCAATGGTTGTGCCATTCCTCTTCATGTAACTGTCGCTGTTGATGATAGGGTTACTGTTGCTTCAACTCCAACTGTTGCTGTTGCTGTGGCTGTTGTTGTTGTTGTTGATACAAGAGAGTAACAAAAAAAAAAGAAGTAGTAGATATAAGGATGATAGACGTTTGATAGGAAAGAAGGAGCAAACCACTTGAGAGCACCCGCCAACCATCCATCTCATATAAAAGCTGTAAGAAATACAATTATCAATTCTTCAATTTCCTCAGTTACTAGTAACGTATGCAGAGTATATTGTATAACAACAGAAAGTTCCGCATATTCGGGAAGAACCGTATAAAGAACAACGTGCAGACTCATTCAGTCGCGTACTAGATACCCGCCAAGTTCAATGTCTTTTCTCGAGGATCGACATGACGTCACAGAAGTTATCAAACAGTCCGGGGGGAACCAGCAGCGAGCAAAGACAGACGCGCTTGGCAAACATTCATGCGCAACCAAGGAATGCTTTTCGTTGTTGTCACGAACAGCTAAGAATCGGGGGCTATCACAATCTCTTTTAAGCAGAGCAGTGCCACAATACTGCGTTGACATAAACCAGCGGCCGCAGCGCTGTGCAGTTGTGACGTCACCCAGGGGAAAGTACTAGTTCCCACAAAGCACAAGGTCAACAGGATTATGCAAAACCACGGGCCAGTGATGTAGAGAGATGAGAGCGACGATATATTTGCCATCCATCCAAACTTTGTTTTCTGATCAATCAAGAATGGTTTTTAATCCCAGGTCACCACTCACAACCCCCTC